ATATATATATATATATATATGTATGTATGTCCGGAAACAAAGCATTGATGCTTCGGTCTCAACACGTAAAAAGGAAAAGCTAAATATAGAAGCTGGAGCAGAAACACAGAAGTTAATACTTGTGACAGGAAACGGGTGAAATGTTTACAATCATGGTGACTCTTAGAACCAGTGCGTCACACGTTAAAGTGGCCCACAGCAGAAACATAAGCCCGAACAACAACGATAAAGAAGAAACCCTCCAGTCACAGGAATGAGTCCTACAAAATAAAACTCAGCATTTCTGAAGTGCTCTCAAGAAATCAGAACACAATTTATTTTAATTTCTCCTCGACGACAACGAGAACAATCATGAACAATAAGTGCACCTCTCAGCAGTATCTGCACCAATACAGGGTTAAAGAAATGTTCCGACAGCAGGCGTGAAATGAGAGACGGTGGAGGGGGGGCGCCGAGAGACAAGGGGGGGGGGGGGGGGGCCCGGCCCGGCCCGTCACCCCCCCTCCTCCTTGATGCGCTGCTGTTTGTTGCGGCGGGAGTCCAGGTCGAAGGAGAAGTCGGACCACTCGTCGCGCGGTGGGAAGGAGATGGTCTGACGCAGCGTGAAGCGCACGGCGTCGATGACGCGCTCGCCGCGCGCCTCGGAGGAGCCCATGCTGACGGTGGAGGCCCCGCTGGTGGTGCGCACTATGTGGGGAGGAGGGGAAAAGTCCATGGCCTGCCGGTGCTCCATGATGCCCTTCCAGATGACGTGCTGGAACTCAGCGGGGATCTTCATCCTGGACAGGTCCTATTGGTCATTACACAGGAGGAGCGTTAGTATCGGCGGAGGGTGGAGAGGGGAGGTGGGGGGGGGCGCCACTCTTCCTCCCTAACCCATCAAATGACTGGTGTTGGATAGGCAAGGGCTCACCTCCATGTTATAGTTCTCGATCTGGTAGATGTTGGTTAGGCCCTGTGCTGTGAAGTAGTCCAAGCAGCCTGCGCAGCCCAACCGTATGAGGAAGCTGTGGAGGAAGAGGAGGAAGAGGAGGGTCAGCCATCGACACATCAACACGTCATGTGGGACAGTTCACCAATCAATGTAATGACGTCATGGTTTTCAATAACGTGTATTATGGAGGGAAATCATGTGATGTTTGTTTTGTGTCTGATGAAGATGTGACGGAATAAAATAACTTCATGAGCCTTTTCCTTCAAATGTTTTCTAGATGTACAGGATATCTTCCGTTAAAATAACGTTTGAAGGTAAAAACACACTACTTCCTGTCCAGGTGCAGTCAAGCGGATACGACCTCTCAGAGGACCCCTCCCCCTCCTTTACACTAAGGTAAGTCTCTCTCTAGAAGCAGAGTTTGGTTTGTCTCTTCTGGGCCACCATATAGAAACATGGCGGACTCCTCTGTTAATACAAACGGCTCATTCTTCTGGCTGCAAATAATGTCATTCGTAGAAATCCCACGATTTTAGATGAAGGTGGACCAACCCTAATATATGAAGTTGGACCAACATAATTGCTTAACGCTTAAAGAAAGCAGTTAGTGTGGAAATACTTTGCATGATTTTATGAAGTTTGTTGTTTTTTGAGTGTATTGAAGTGCTTTTCTCTCTCCAGTGTTTGTTAAGGTCTCTTTATCGTGTTCACATCTGAATCCTCTGATATCTGCTGTGTGATGTGTCCACTGTGGTTTGCTGAGGTACCTGGAGATGCTGCTGTCCATTGGGTATGGAGGAGGGGGGGTACAGTGGGAGGAAGGCACCAGGGGGAGCTGAGCCTGCAGGTTGTGAGAGGGGCTCAGTGAACTCATGTCGTTCATGGGGATGTGAGAGCCCATCATGGGAGTCACTGAGGAGACAAGAGGAGCCTTCAGGTACCGCTCGGGGGTTTAGAGAGCACGTAAGTAACGTCAACACAAGGGGAGGCGACATGCAGAGGTTACTCTCAACATGACACACGATGCATCACAACAGGTCCTGCAGGAGAGTCTCACAGGGATCGCATTCTATAGAGGAGGAGCTGCTCTATGTGTGTGTGTGTGTGTGTGTGTGGGGGGGGGTGGGGGGGTTAGTCTGCATGGACATGCAGACTTTATGAGGGTAAAATGAGCCCACGAGGGACTGGGGGGGGCCTGAGACAGACAGGAAGTGAGAGAAAGCAGCACACTTACTGTCAGTCAGACCGCTCATGCTGGAGGGGGTCAGAGAGTTCCTCTGCTGGGGGTTGATCAGCTGACTGACCGACGGGAGCTTGTTCACCTTCCCATGAGGAGGAGAGCAGGAGCCGTAGGAGGGCTGGGACTGCATGGAGGTCCTGCAGGGAGGAGAGAGGAGAGAGGAGGTCACACAGCGTTAGCATTAGCATCATCATGTTGAGACAGAGAGAGGAGGAGAAAGGAGACAAGAGGAGAGAGGAGAGAGGAAACAAGAGGAGAGGAGTAGGGACCAGAGAGACAGGAGAAATAAGTGCTCCCTCACAGGAGAGAGGAGGAGCAAGAAGAGGAGGTGCATCATGGACACAGTGAAAATAGTAATGTTTAATAATATTAATGAATACAAACTGATTCATGTTTCGATCATGAAACATTACTAATAATCTATTGATTATGTTTTTATTTTAAGGAAACTGAACGACTTTTTATAAAACATGAGCAGCATCAAGAACCAGAACCAGAGTCCAGAGTAAGGGTCCAAGGTCCAGAGTAAGGGTCTGAGGTCCAGAGTAAGGGTCCGAGGTCCAGAGTAAGGGTC